TCTCTCTCTCTCTCTCTCTCTCTTCCCCCCCTCCCTCCGTATCCTCCTCTCTCTCCCCAGCTCTCTCACTCCCTCTCTCTATGGAACATACAGTCACATACATGGATCTATGTCCATTGCTCTCATGCAATGGGTAACAAAAGGCAAACCCGCATGCTCCACATGCATCTGACAATGTGCCTCCACATGCATCTGACTATGTGCCGGAACCGATAGTATAGCGGCGGAGAAGCAGATGCGTATGCAGTACGATGCACCTGGTGAGAAGTTCTAGTACGATAAGGACGGTGATAGTGGCAAAGTCGTGGAAATTTTGAAATGGGGCCCCCCAAAAATTGAAGGGTTAAAATACAGCTTTCTTGAATACGAGAAAACAGCGTAGGGTAACCTGGTCCTAGTCGAAAAGTTTGGGTGGGGAGGTGATTGGGAGCGGGTTGGAGTACAAGCTACAAAAAGCCCAAGGTGAGACAATGCTTCCTTCATAAGAGCATTGAATAGGGCTAGTGACCAGGTGCCAGGCTCATGTGTGGATGAAGTGCTTGACACATGCTAGGTTGAGAAAAGAGTGTCGCATCCTCCTCACATGCATGCCCCTGTGATGCAGGGGGAGAGGAGGACATAGGTGACATCCAACCAGATGCGGTGTCGGCGAGCAAGGGGAAAGGCCGGGTGAGGTCAAGCAGGCGCAGAGTTTGCAGTCGGGTTGGAGGGAGGGGATGGCTTTGAAGTGCACATCCAAACCCTGGCAACCCCCTCTGATGATGCCCCTGACTTTTCACCTGAGGGCCACAACGATACGGCCACTACTGCTCAAGATTCAAGCCACTGGTATTTTATAGCACCCCTAGGCAACTAGGATAAAGCCACGATGCCTCATGGCATGAACAGAGGCACCGACCTTGTTTCTTAGAAGCTACAGTATTCTTTGTGCCCCTTGTCCATAGTATGGCAGCTGCCCAAGGGGATCCAATAGGAGCTACAACGTCGGGGTGGACCAACCCTCCACCTGGAGAGGACCTCACAGCCAACATGGTATTTCTCATCGACCTGCTGCCATTTGTGCGATTCTTCAGTACCTTGGGAACAGCGTGCAGTTTTGGAGACGGTTGCATGAGGAAGATGGGGTGGTGTTCATTTAGGCGGGTGTGGGCATGCATTGAGATGGTGTGGTTATGCAACAAATGTTGGGAGACTCTTGAGTTCTGGACTTCAACGCGAGAACGGTCAAACATTATTGAGGGCGACATAGGCTCCACTGGGTCCAAGATGGGAAGGACCTAGAGAAGCCTAGTGGGCGCTGGAGGTAGATCTTCTCATGCAGACTACCCTGGAGGAAATCTGTGGAGAGGTTGAGTGAGTGAAGCTCGTAGTCACGCTGCGCGGCTAGGTAAAGGAGCACCCGAAGAGTAGTCATCTTCAGGGTAGGGGAGAAGGTCTGGAAGGAGTCCACACCCTGTCGCTGACTGAATCCTCTAGCCACGTAACGCGCCTTGAACCTCGGCGGCTCTCCAGGTGCACGCTTCACCCTGTAGATCCACATGACATTGACTACGTTCACCCCAGGCGGGGAAACTGCGTCGACATAAGTGCCCGTGGACCTGTAGGATGCCTCCATGGCCTGTATCCACTAGGCAGCCTGGGCACCCGACACGGGCTCTGCGTAAGAGCGCGGGATAGGGATGTCTAGTGCGTCCGGGTCCCCCTCTGGGCATACAAGCATGGTGCAAAGATGTGGTACAGCGGTAGCAAGGTAGACCAACTCGTACTGCCTGCCCTCTAGGACGTTACTGCCAAGGGCATGTGCACCCCCGACGGACGGAGAACAGGCAGTACCAGAGACGAGAGCGGCAGCGTAGTCAAGACGGTGGCTAGCAGCGAAGTCAGTGACAGCATTAACAAGCATAGAGACAGTCTCAGGAGGAACAGTAGGGGCTGTGATAAGCAACGCAAGCAAGTGGGAGGTGGTAGGAGCAGAGGATAGTGGGAGCGACGACGGAGGAGGTAACGGAACAACACTGACTGGAGGAGCACGAGAATGAAGGACCATAGGGTGGACGCTAAGTCGAGGAGAGACAGGACGAGCACTAGGGGGACGACGGGCCCAATGGGGAAGAATGGGGGACAGGGGACGAGGGGGGCGGGGGACAGGACAGGGGACCAAGGCATATTTTTCACAGGTAACTACCTGGATTTTGACAAAAAAACGCGTGAGCTTTTAACCAATATGATTGGGACGAGTCCGATTTTTATGATCCCGGATTCTGATGGTTTGACCATTTCCCGTAAAGTGACGTGTCAGGTTTTGGTTAACATGGATAATAGAACTTCTCACACCACCACACCGATCCCCCCACCATTCCCTCTCCCCTAGGCAAATCAGCCCAAGGTGGAATTATAAGAGCAAGGCGAATTACCTCTTATGTGGAACTTTTCGTAAGAGCGTTTGTGGAATCCAGGAACTAAAGTGTCATTTTTCTCCTACCCGAAAAGTCGACAAGTAACGTTTCATATAACACCCGTTTTATCCGGGTCTCTCAAAAGAGATACCCAGATCTGTCGTGTGGACGAAAACCCCAAGGTACTGTAAGCTTTGCAGGGGACAGAGGAGAGTGCGGAGAGAAACGAGCTGGAAAGGTGTCCAAGGGAGGGAACAGCGGGCCGTAAACAGGGTCAGGCACAGGAGGAGGGACGGGCGGTTGGTCAGGGGAACCGAAGGAAAGACCAAGGAGACGAAGGGAAGACTGCGGTTCATGCTGCGGTTGTAGCTGTTGCTGCAGCTGCTACCTGTCCTCTCCAGGATCTCTAACTCCACCTCGGCCCACCTCGGCTACCACCGGCACTCTCCAAAACAGCACCCCCAGGACTCGCACCCCCGGACGAACCACTCACAGAACCAGCACCCCCAAAACCAACACCCCTAGAGCTCACTGCCCTCTGCTGCTGCTGCGGCCACTGAGTCTACTGCAGCTGCTGCTGAGGGAAGGGGGGAGGATGTTGAGGTGCTTGGAGTACCTGGGCTGGGGGAGGCGCCACAGGGACAGCAGACGCACCCCTAGCAGCTGGGCCCCCAGAGTCAGCAGACTCCCCCAAGGGCCCGACCGAGTGAAACGAAGTGGCATAAGAGACACCAGACGGGGTTGGGCGGGGTGGGAGGGATGCAGTAGGTGGGGTAGGGGCGAGGAAGAGAGGAGGAGGGACAAGAGAGCTGTGGTGAGGGAAGCGCCAGTAGTAGGGGAGCTTCTCGTTTAAGTTAACGTTACGAGAGTGGAAGAAGCGGTGGTGTACCGGGTGGTAAATCAGCCAGTCAGGGGCATCAAGCGGAAACCCCAAGAAGACACAAGGAAGGGTGTGGGCTGAGAGCTTGTCCGTTCCAGTGGTGCACACGTGAGCAAGGCTACCCCAAACATGAAATGCAGAAGCGTCACTAGGAGACCCGGTCTAGAGAAGGGTCGGCGAAATCTGTGGTCGCAAGATGCGCGACCACAGGTTAAGCTGGTGAGCTGCATAGCTCACGGCGAACGTCCTCAGTAATTGGGTGCGCCGGCGTGGACTATGGAGGTGCAAGCTGTTGTGATATAATTGATACTTAGCATTTCTGTAAGTCGATTAAGTGTAGTTAGTGTCGAATCCTACTGTAGAAGATAAGTCCGTAGGATGACGTCAGCAAATAGCGCTCGTCATAGGACAGTCGTTTCAGTCACGCGAACAGTCGCACCTCTTCATTAACATCTAGGGCGCATAGCGCGATAGTGACGAACAGGTACATTAGCGAATAGGTACTTTTCGTAGAACTATAAATCTCTGTTTGGTCTTTTCATTATTAACTTTGATTACCCACAAGTTCAAGTACTCAGGTTATTCAACCTTGACCTTTATATTTTACAAGACTTCCGCTGTCTTACTAGTCTACCATTCCAGCAAAGATCCTAGACCAATACTTGAGGATTTGCCAAGTATTCTTGTTTATAGTTTTATACTTAGTCTATTACAACACCAGACGATTTACTTCACAAGCTACCTCCATGACCAGGCCGATGCATTGCTCAACAACTTCATTCTGTTGTGGGGAGTCCAACAATGTATACGTCTGGGATAGCGGAGGACACAAGCGCCTCTGCAGCGCTGGCACTGGGAATTGAACCCGAGTCACCCGGTTCTGATACCATGTCAGATCTCTGTCACTAACCATTGAGTTAAAAGGGCTTGTCATGTAGCGGGTTAGTGCGCCCATAAACCCCCAGCCATAGAGGCCTGTGGCCCTTCCCCGAGGATCTCAAGGGCAACCCCAGCGGGTCTCTCGACAGTAGCTGCAGTGGTAGTGGGCGGCAGCGGCAGCGGCAGTGGCAGCGGCAGCAGTGGGCGGCAGTGTGCGGCAGCGGGCGACAGTGGGCGGCAGTGTGCGGCAGCGGGCGGCAGTGGGCAGCAGCACGCAGCAGGTGGTAGCTGGCGGCTAGCGGTGGCTGCTGGCAGCGTGCTGCTGGCGGCTTGCGGCTGGTGCTGGTTGCTAGCAGCGTGCTGCTGGCGACTGGCGGCTGGCGCGGGCTGCTGGCGCTGGCGGCAAGCAGCTGGTGCTGGTGGCGCTAGGGAGCCAGCGAGCTGGCGAGCTGGCTCTGGCGAGCGGACGTTGGCGAGCTGACAAGCTGGCTCGCGCTGGCGAGCTGGCTGGCGCTGGCCGTCGACTAGCGCTGGCCGTGGACTAGCGCTAGCGGGCTGCGGGAGGGAGGGGGGGGGGCGGTGACGAACTAGCGGGGGAGGGAGGGAGGCTAGCGACTAACGACGGCGCCGTCTGGCGCGGACTTGCGGCAGCTGGCGCGGGCTGGCGGCGGCTGGCGCTAGCTGGCGCGAGCTACTCGGCAAGCAGGGGAGGGCGGGGCGGCGACCACCAACAAGGCACGCGGCTAGGCACGCGGAAAACTTCTGTATATTCTATGACACAGATATGTACGTCTTGCTCCTCGCTCTTTTGTGTTCAAAACAGCATCCTGACGATGATTGGCAACCAGGGTCCTTCGACCTAACATTTGGTAATGTTGGCATTACAATGGACACTGAAGTCTCTTCTCTGCAAAACATACGGTCTTGACCTTATCATCACCTTGCATATAATACAGCTAACTACTTCAGTGCTCGAGCTGAGTAATACCAGCCTCAATCTGTGCAAATTCAGAGCCAGCCTCCTCCTCCACCCTTCACATGATATAAGGACTGAAAATGCTCCAGCTCCCTGTAACTCCACACCACCCTTCACAAGCAGCTGATGGAAACTGCACTAAGAGCTCATTAATTGGCAACTATGCACCCATCTCCTGCCTGTCCATTCTGTCAACCCTCCTGCAGGCACATCAGAAGGCAGCAGCAGCCTCGGCCCGTTGTTTGATGAGGTCTGCTCGTTGGCTCTTCCTCATCGCCTCCACCAGCCATGTCACCCCCTCCCTAACCCCCGTGCTGCACATGCACTCACGCATGGACGCACATACACAAGCACACATGGGTTTTCACGTATTGCCATGCAGAATGGTTGCACGTGTTCACAGTGCACACACACACACAGACATGAAGCCGGCATTCCATGAAAGCAGGCATTCCACTTTCAGTGCGTAATCTGCATAAAACACTGGCCGCAACTTGTGTGCCACTTCTCACCAAAACTGCCCAACCTGCCTGCCTGACGACCTTCTCTTTTTCTTGTTGCACTCCTTGCACTACTGCTCACAAGCCGACCCACAGTGGAGTCGCAGCCTCAACACCCTAGCATACCACTTAGACAACCTCTGAAGCTCTTTTTCCCATCGCCCTCCACACCCCCACTCCCACTTTTCTCCCCTCCACCCCCCCCCCGCCCCCTCTCACCCATCTAAGGACACACCAGCTTAAACATGGCAGGCCCCTTAACTGCGACACTCAACACTTAGCACCATCAGCATGGTCCTTCACCCCTCCCTCTTCCTCCTCTCCATTCCCCCCACATTCCCCCTCCCCCTCTACCCTCTCTCCCCCTCTCTCCCCAATCCCTTATCCCCCTCTCTCACCCATCACAGGCGCACACGGGCTTGACCATGGCAGGCCGCCCCTTGAGGTCCCTCAGCTCGAGGCAGTGCGTCAACTCGTCCACGCCCACCGCCTCTGGTAGGTCCTGGTGAGGGGGAGAGGGAGGTGTGATAGGGGGGAGGGCAGGTGGTCGCAGATGGGATGGCATGAGAGCGCAGCATGCAGGCACTCTCACTTCCAGGCAGTGAGTCAAATCCTCCACTTCCACTGCTTCGGGACACCCTGTGACGACATGCGAGCAGGCACTTAAGGTGCAAGGGTGCAGAGGGGTGAAAATGGGTGCAAGCTGGGGTGGATCGTAACGATGCTGGGGATATCTGCCAGTAGTAGGGTATTTTTGAGTTCTCAAAAATACCCAGTAGTAGTACGAGACGGTGACTTTACCACCCCCATCCACCCTCCCCACCCCCATCACCCTCCCCACCCCCATTCACCCTCCCACACTCATTCGTCCCTCCTTCCAGTCCTGCATCTGCATCTGACATTCGCGACAGTATCTCTTTTTGAGGCGCCCAAACGAAAAATACATTTGTGGCCGTGCCTCTCAGAGGCAGCAGCATACGCCTTCCCATGTCAACTAGAATGCCCTCCTGCTGGCAGCAACGAATGCCCTCTCTGCCCACACCCCTGCCCATCCTCCCCTCTCTCCCTTCACTCTTCACCTCCCCACCCTCCTCCCAGCTTCCCCCAGCATGACATGCAACCTCATACCTGCTTGTTGGCGAATATTAGGATGGGCGCGCCAAAGAGGCCACTGCAAAAAGCCCTCCATAACCAACCTGTTCCCAACTCCATTCCCTCCCACCTCCAAGCACCACATGGCACCTCGTACCTGCTTGTTGGCGAATATTAGGATGGGCGCGCCAAAGAGGTCCTCATGTCTCAACACCTTCTCTGAAGGGTGAGGGAGAGCGGCAGAGAAGGGGAGGCGACATAAAGGGGAGGAGAAACACATGGGGAGGCGACACAAGGTGAGGAGACGCAAGGGACAGATGGGGTGGGCATGAGGCATGATGAGAGCAGTGAGAGAAATATTGGTGGCCAAGCTGGTAACAAGGGGAAGCGGGGGAGGGGGGGGGGGGGGGTTGCGTCCAGTTGTCCCTAGCGCCGTCCTCAGTTTGACTCTCATTTGTGTGCCACAGACACATGCACACACACTCGCAATAATAAACGACCCCTTCGCATCATCCCACCCCTTCAGGGCATTCGACCAAACATGAGGTAGTGACACACATAGAGGCAGACGTGCACACAGATATGTGCACACACCTCTATTCACACACTTGCACGCACCCTCTATCTACACACTTGCACTCACACGCACTCCCTGATGCATACACTGGCTCCTCCTTCTCACTCCCACAGCCCAGCACCCACCGAGCGCCCCTCTGGCGTCGTCGAATCTCTCCGGGCAGGCCGCGTCCACCACGTAGATCACTGCATGCGCCTCCTCGTAGTATTTCTCCCATATCGTGCGCAGCCCGATCTGGGGAAGAGGGCAAACAGACAGGGAGGGGGCAGGGGGGAGCAGGGAGGGGGGAGGGGGGAGGGAGGGGAAGAGGGGGGGGAGGGGGTGGGGAGTGTTTGAAACGAAAGGGTTTTGAATGACGACGTGGGGAGAGTATGAATGCGCTGTGTGGAACATGTATCCACCACGTAGATCACTGCATGCGCCTCCTCATAATACTTCTCCCAAATCGTGTGCAGCTCGATCTGGTTAACGAGGGGGGGGGGGAAGAGGGGAAAGGGGGCGATCGGGGGGGTTACGGCACAGGTTGGGAGGAGGGGAACCAGAAGAATGGGCAAGGAAGGGGTTTTTTACCCAGGTCTACATGCGACTCTTTGTAATAGTTCGCCCATACCATGGACAGCCCAATCTGGTTCACGCACCCGGGAGGGAAGGGGGGTGGGGGGGGGGTGTGGGGGAGGAAGAAAGGATCTGGGGAGCGAGAGAGGTAAGCGGGATTGGGGGGAGAGAGAGGGGGGGAGAAGGAACAAGGTTATCGCTTTAGAGGTCACTCGTGTGAGAAGCATCAACCGCGCAGACGACTGCGTGCACGTGCATATTACGCGCTCATCAAATGAAGGTGGAGGACGCAAAGTGGAGAGCACCAAGTGGGCCACCCAGGCCCTCCCACCCCATAGCCCCCCCCTCCTCCTCCCCCCCCTCTCCCTGCCCCACCTTCCCCCCCCGGTCCTCCCAGGTCCCAGAAGATGAGCTTGGCCTTGTGCGCCTCCACGCGCCCTTTGTTGAGCCCCACCGTCCCAACACTGTAACCCTTGCCTCCACACCCCCACCCACCCGTCCTCCCATCCACCCACACCCTCCCCCCCACTCACCCCTCCCACCCTCTCCGCTTTCCCTTCCTGTCCGCACCTGGCCGCCCAGGTCCCAGAAGATGAGCTTGGCCTTGTGCGCCTCCACGCGCCCGATGTTGAGCCCCACCGTGGGCACCACGCGGTCCGGCGGGATGCCCTCGTAGTCCGTGTACAGGCCCTTCACGCGCTCCAGAAGGGTCTGGGGGGGGGAAGGAGAGGGGGGGGAGGAAAGGGTGGGAGGGGGGGGAGGGGGGGGGTTGAGCAAGGAAGCGGGTGGACGGGTGGAGCGGGAGAGTGGGAGAGGGAGGGAGGGGGATGCCGTCGTAGTCCGTGTACAGGCCCTTCCCGCGCTCCAGAAGGGTCTGGTGGGGGAGGAAGAGGGGGTGGGGGATGGGTAGGGTAAGGAAGAAAGCGGGAATTCAGAGGGGAAGCGGGATGCCCTCGTAGTCCGTGTGCAGGCCCTTCACGCGCTCCAGACGAGCCTTGAGGGGGAGGGGGAAGGGGGAGGGGGAGGTGGGAGGGGGGGGTGCGCAAGGAAGGGGATGGACGGGTGGAGCGGGAAAGCGGGAGAGGGAGGGAGGGGGATGCCCTCTTAGTCTGTGAGCAGGCCCTTCACACGCTCCAGAGGAGTCTGGGGAGAGAGGGTGGGGAGCGGTGGGGTGGGGGTGGGGGGGAGGGTAAGCAAGAAGGGGGAACTGAGAGGCGGGGGGGATGCCCTCGTAGTCCGTGTGCAGGCCCTCACGTGCTCCTGGAGGGGCTGGGGAGGTGAAAGTGTAGGGAGACATGGAGGAAGAGTGGAGGGACAAGAGGGAGGGAGGGGGGAGGGGGGGGGGGGGGGGGAGGGGAGGACAAGAAATAGGGAATTGGGAGGGGAGGCGGAGTGCTCTCGAAGTCCGTGAGCAGGCCCTTCACGCGCTCCAGGAGGGTCTGAGAGGAGGGGGAGGGGAGACGGGAACGGGAACGGAGGCGGAATGCCTTCGTAGTCCGTTTACTCGCTGTGGGAGGGTCTGGGGGGGAGGAAGGAGGCGGGGATGAGCCGGGAAAGCCCCAGGGCGTGTGGGTGGACGAGGGGGGCGGGGGGGAGAGAGGGAGAGGAGACGAGGCGAGGGTGGAGGAGAGGATTGAGGAATGAGGAAGAGATTGAGGAGCTGGTGAATGAAGACGAGGACGGCGAGCGGAAGCAGGCATGCAGGATTGCTGATTTAAGGAAGAGAAACGACCAAAGAAGCAGGTGCTTGTTGAACATTTTCAAGAACGATTCGAGAGAAGCGGTAAAGGGAAGGAGAAGCACAGGTGGGACTGGGAGTGGCGAACTTGGGATGCCCCGTGAATGTTGGAGCCAAAATCCCAAGCACACGTGGTTTATCTATAGAGAACGGCTCAGCGTAGCGGGTTCATGAAGGGGTGATTGGAGATCAACGCGTCGCAGATTCCACAGGTCGCAACACAGCTGGTTCCATGCTGAATCATCTGCGCTCTGCTCACTGCACGTGGCCGCACGTCACAGTGCCTCGTAGCGCCGTCAACCTCGCCTCCCAACCTCGGTCTCGCCGTCAAACATCTAACCAACCCTCTCGACGCCGCGGGCTCTGACGCTCAGAGGCTCGACGGCTTAGAGGCTCTGACGCTCAGAGGCTCGGATGGTCAGAGTGTCGGAGGGTCGGAGGGTCAGAGGTCAGAGGGTTAGAGGGTCGGACGGTCAGAGGTCAGAGGGTCAGTGGGTCGGAGGATGAGAGGGTCATGGGCTGACCGTTTTGCCGGCCTTGTCGATGCCGAGGATGAGGATGTGGTACTCGGCCTTGGAGAAGAAATACCGCCACAGCCCGAACAGCAGCGAAAACATCGCTCCGCGCCGCTGCCGCTGCTGCTGCGGCTGCTGCTACTGCTGCTGCTGCCGGTGATGCTGCTGCTGCTGCTGCTGCTGCTACGCCGAAACGCGCTGCGCCGCGCGCGCTCACACGCGACGGTGCTGCTGCCTGGTGGTCGGTCAACCTGGCGGGCTTGGAAGATTATTGGAGTAACTCCCTAGTCGTCTAATGATCGTGATGCCTAATAGTCTAGTCTGCCAGCAGCCAGAACCACAAAAGCAGCAGCAGCAACTGGCAGTCCTGTGCGTTGTTGGATGAGGGAGCTTCCGTCGCTAGTAGGAGGAGACCGTCGATCCGGACAAAAGACACGTGGCGAGACTCGCGGCCCTTATGGGGGAAAGGATTGAATGCAGGAAGTGCAACGACTCCGGCTGAAATCCCACTCCTGCCGCTGCTGCTTCCTTCCTCCCTTGCTTCCCCGAGAACTGAATGAACTGAACTAACGCAGAACGAGTGGCGGTATTCGTGTAAATCTGCGAGTATCCCCAGCGTGAAAGACTCTCATTCAAGCACCGCCGCAACTATCCTCTCTCGTCGTGCCGCCGGTTTCCGCCATCCATCATGGGACTTCGGTAGTACCACTGGAGACGATTACCCGAAAATGGTAACCGGAGTAGGGTTCTCGCATGTGCCTGCGAAAACGGCTCGCGGAAACAGCGTCGGTCGGGAGGTCGAGCAGCCACGCAACAATCGCGACAGCGGAACCGGAATGAAATAAAGTCTGGGATAAGCAGAGAAAACGGGTCACGCGGTGAACGTCGGGTCAAGGGATACTCTGACACTGCGAAGAGAATGAGAGCTAGATCCTGACACTGCTGGTAGTCTCAGCTCAGGAATTCAGTGGCTAGATTTGGAAAAGAGCGAGCCGAGATTCCACAAGTCACGGACGGAACCATGGCTGCAAGTATGGAATTGCTACAGTATGGGGGAGGGTGGACGGAAAGAGAAGGCGACAGCGAACGACCCTGCTAGCTGTAAAGTTACCTGTTTCGTCCAGCGTTATGGTAACTAACTAGCCGTTTGCCGTCGCATAAGGTGCGAAAACACATTGCGCGAACCGTTGGTTATGGGGAGGCGCAGCACTGTCATGGCCAAAAACCACAGCACCGAAGCTCTCTAACGGACACTTCAATACGTACCGAAGCAAACAAAGAGTGAACCATTTCCATCTACCAGCTCATCTACAGAGAATGGATAAGCCAAATGTAGTGTTTAACTAATCATTTCAGATCCAAAAAAACTTGTAATAGTTTCAATTATGGACTCGTCAAACAAATTATGTATAACGAATGGAAAAAAATCCCCATAAAATTATCAGGAATATTCTGCTTGATCAAGGGTCGCTGCCTAAAAGCGAGAGTCTATAATAGTGACCCCCCTTCTAGTTGGGCCCAACTAGAAACCACCCAACAGTGAATATGTTTTTGGAGGGGCGGGCAGCAGCCCCCATTTTTTACCAAACCGTAGGCCGCGAAATCGAATTGCGCTTGCGACATTTCGCACTGACGACAAAATTTACGACCATAGATTTGCGTGGTTAGCATTTTAACCAATCGGGCCCAGCCTCAGTTTTGCTGGAGTAGTGAACCCGGGTCCAACTTGAAATTCAAGTTGGGCCCACTTGGTGCAGCTTACAGGCAGTGGGGGGGTGCTGGGCGACAGGTAGTGCGCTGCTTGCGATTTTGCCCGAGCCCTTTTCCCCACCGTACGTCATGTTTTCCCTGCCAACCAATCAGGTAACAGCATCTTCTCGCCCAGTTTCCCTTGCTTGCATTTCTCGACAATGTACCCTCTGCCCCGTCGTAGTTTTGTCCCCTAGTCGCAAAAACGGACCTCTGGGCCTTTTCAAATTGGACCCGCCTTCACTATTTTCACCTCTCGCTTTAACAAACAATATGGAATTGGGATCATTCTTCTGGAAGTTTAAAGCGAGAGGTCAAAGTAGTGAAGGCGGGTCCAATTTGAAAGGGCCCAGACTGTTAGAATGATGGAATGAATTAGAATGAGAGGGTACAAGGGAATATAGGCTAGTATTGTACCCTCTACGGCACAAACCTATACAGTCTACAATAACATACTAAGATATATTTCGACACACCCCCTAGACTGTATAGGGGCAATGCCTAACAAACAGACAAGCGTCTCAGGGTGGCACTGTCAACTTATACATATGCTGTATGTAGAAGTTATAGGCTAGCCTAGGTGTGTGCTTCTAGTGAGTACAACCCCAACAGGTACATGTTCTAGGTTTCTCATACTAGTCTATTCATTCTCTCTTTCTAACATGGTATCATGAGTAGGTTTGGTTCCTCTCTCCCGCCCACGCTTCCGCCCTAGGCCCTAGCCGCCCTCGTGACCCGTCCCTAGCTGGCCTTCTCCCCCCTGGCCGTCCCGTCCGCCCCTAGCCGGCCCCCTGGCCATCGCGCCCGCCCCTAGCTGGCCCCCTGGCCGTCGCGTCCGCCCATAGCCGGCCACCTGGCCGTCACGTCCGCCCCTAGCCGGCCCCCTGGCAAACGCGTCCGCCCCTAGCCGGCCCCCCTTGGCCGTCGCGCCCGCCCCTAGCTGGCCCCCTAGCCGTCGCGTCCGCCCCTAGCCGGCCCACTGGCCGTCGCGTCCGCCCCTAGCCGCCCCCCTTGCCGTCGCGTCCGCCCCTAGCCGCCCCCCTGGCCGTCGCGTCCGCCCCTAGCCGGCCCCCTGGCCGTTGCGTCCGCCCCTAGCTGGCCCCCTGGCCGTGGCGTCCGCCCATAGCCGGCCCCCAGGCCGTCGCGCCCGCCCCTTGCTGGCCCCCTGGCCGTCGCGTCCGCCCCTAGCCGGCATCCTGGCCGTCGCGTCCACCCCTAGCCAGCCCCCTGGCCGTCGCGTCCGCCCCTAGCCGGCATCCTGGCCGTCGCGTCCACCCCTAGCCGGCCCCCTGGCCGTCACGCCCGCCCTTAGCTGGCCCCCTGGCCGTCGCGTCCGCCCCTAGCCGGCCCCCTGGCCGTCGCGTCCGCCCCTAGCCGGCCCCCTGGCCGTCGCGTCCACCCCTAGCCGGCTCCCTGGCCGTCGCGCCCGCCCCTAGCCGGCCCCCTGGCCGTCGCGCCCGCTCCTAGCCGGCCCCCTGGCCGTCGCGCCCGCCCCTAGCTGCCCCCCTGGCCGTTGCGTCCGCCCCTAGCCAGCCCTCTGGCCGTTCGCGCCCGCTCCTAGCCGGCCCCTTGGCCGTCACGCCCGCTCCTAGCCGGCCCTTGCTAGCGCCCGCCCGGCCTATTGCGCCCACCCGTCCCACACCGCCCGCCCGGCCCCACCCAGCGCCTGCCCGGCCCCGATACGCCTGCCCGGCTCCTGCGGCCCGCAGCTCCCAGTGCCTGCTCGGCTCCTGCTGCTCCGTGTCTTCTGCTCGGCACGGTTCCTCGGGTCTCCGGCCTCGTGTCTTCTGCTTGCCAGCGCTAGAGCGTCCTGCAGACGTCCCTCTGGAGCTGTGCTGCTGTGTCCCTGTGCCGCTGTGTCGTGTGGAGCTGTGCCGCTGTGTCCCTGTGTCGCTGACCCTGCACGATGGCTGACTTCGTACTCCGCCTGGACGCTGAGGGCCATGCGGTTGACTTCGCCGCCTGGCTGTCCGATCTCCGCCGTCAACTCACAGGTCAGCGCTAGGATGGGCACTCCTTGGTTCTCCATACTGATGGCTTGCTCCCCCGCCCCCCTGCGCCTGCTCCCCTCCCTGCTGACCCCACCTCTGCTGAGCGTGAGACTTTCTCTGCTGCTGCACTTGCCTGTGCCGTCTGGGACTCTCGCGATGCAGTTGCTTAGGTCGCTATCAGTCACGCCCTCCCTGTGTCTGAGCGTTCGCGTTTTGCTACAGATGATACAGCCAAGGCTTACTTAGAAGCTGTTGTTGCTCGCTATTCCACGCCTGCCTCCACTATTGCAGGCCGCCTGCTCTTCCCTATGCTTTTCCCAGACCTTGCTTCCTTCCCTACTGTTGCTGACCTTGCCACTCACCTGCGCGCCCTAGAGTCTCGCTACCGCATTGCTAGCACTGTTGCCCAGCTCACTGTGCTCCCTCCCCCCTTCTGCATGACCCTCTACTTTTTCGCCATGCACCTGCCTGACCGCCTTGCTAGTGCACGCGACCACATCCTTAGCCAGCACCTGCGTGATCTCACCCTGCCAGCCTTTGTCACCGCCCTGACCGAGATCGAGACTCGCCAGCGCACTATCGCTCAGTTGAGCGGTGCGCCGGCAGTCTCTATCCTTCACGGCTGTGCCCCCTCCCAGTGCACGTTTACTGACGTTTCGGCTGCGGTCGCCACTACGACCGCTCTGACCGAGATTGCAGCTGCGGTACACCCGCAGCAGCGCTCGCACCGCGCCGGTCGTGGCCGGCAGGGAGGGCGTGGTGGTGGAGCTGGTTGTAGTAGTGGTGGTACTTGGGATAGTGGTTCTACTGAGGGGACTGCCTCAGCAAGTCAGGAGCAGCAGCAGTCGCCCCAGAATCAGGAGCAGCCGCAGCAGGCGTCGTAGCAGTCGCAGTCGTCGCTGTAGCTGTCTGAGCCCCAGCCGTGGGCTCGCCGCCCCCCGGGTTGGCCCGGCACCTCCGTAGGTGGTGGCCGTGGTGGCGGCCCGCGCAGCTTGGCGTCTACCGGCAGCTCCGTTGGTGTGACCTGCTATTACCAGCTTCAGACCGGGCCTCTCCGCGGCACTCTGTGCCGCCACCCGCACCCGACCGCCCGCTATTTCCGCCGCCTCGACGATCTCTTTCGTCGTCGCTTTGGCACGGCCCTGGACCTCCCCGACTGGCACAGCCTGCTTCGCCAGGGCGTGCCGATCTTTGATTTAGATATGGATCACATAGGTGCTGCTTTGCATGCCTTGTATGCTGACGCTTCTAGTGTTGCTGGATCTTATTACCCTGTGTACTCTAGTTTAGGCGTAGCACCCTTGTATAGCTTAGCCTCCCCTGCTTCGTCAGGCGTAGGACTGCCTAGTTTGCCTAGCGTAGGTTCTGCACCGGCTCCGTTCCCGGCCTCCGCTACTGCCTCGCTGTCCTTCACTCTTCACTCTGGTGCTTCTGCCTGTTTCTTTCGCGACCGCTCCACGCTCACGCCGCTTGCTGTGCCTACTGTTGTCGCTCTCGCTGACCCATCCGCGGGTCCTGTCGTCGCTCGCAGCTCCACTTCCCTTCCCTGTCCAGCCGTTCCCCCGGGCTCTCTTACAGGCCTCCACGTTCCCTCGTTCTCCAGGAACCTAGTTGGTGTCGGCCGTCTTCAGGACCTCGGCGTCACCACTACGTTCCCTGGGCACGAGCAATTTCGCTGTCTGTACCGAGGCTGTCTCATGTTCCCCCTTTGCGACGTTCCCCCGCGACCGGGTGTCCGGTCTGTTTACCCTCAACACCCCTTCCCTCCCGGTTGGTGCGTCCTCCAAGGTCGCTGCAGCTTGCTCGTGTTGGTCCCTCACACACCCGTCCCTTCTGTGGCACCACCGCTTAGGTCACCCTGCTCTCCCGCGCCTGCGTCACTTGTCCTAGGCCTCCCCGAGTCGCTCCCCGCACTTCCCCCCTCGACTGCGCCACCGTGCACGCCTTGCGTCGAGGACCGGCTCCGCCGTGCCCCTCACTCCTCCTCGCTTCGCCCTGCAACTTCCCCCCTTCAGACCCTGCACCTGGACGTTTGGGGCCCAGCCCCCGTCTCCAGACCGCGCGGTGAGCGCTACTTTCTTGTGCTCGTCGATGACTACACGCGCTACACCACGGTGTTTCCCCTGGAGCGGAAGGCCGACGTTCCCGACGTTCTTCTCCCGTGGGTTGTGACTGCGCATCTTCACCGCGGTCTCCCCGTGTTGTGTCTCCACTCTGACCGTGGCGGCGAGTTCGCCTCTGGTCGGCTTGGACAGTTCTGTCGTGCAGAGGGCATCACCCA